GTACACCTCGGGGGCAAAGTCTGAAGGCAGAGTCACTGGGGCAACTTTGCGCCTTAGCGCTTTCACCTCACAACTTTCCCTTGCAAAACTTGTGCCAGTGCGAACCACTCCACCCACTCAAATTTTCACATTTTCGTCGGTCATAGAGGACCGTTCCGTCGAAAGGGAGTTTCTAAGCGAATTGATCGAAAAGGATCTATTGAACTCAATTTTCTGAGCACTTCAGTAATCGACAGTAATCGATGCGCTTTTTGCGAGGTGCGAGCTGATAATGAGGAAGCCCATGTCTTCAATCTCGTCTCCAGGCTACCTCTCGTCGACGGGAGGCGTGCCGTTGTTTTTACGCCTGCCTGAGCACATCAATGTGCCTTCCATCACGGGCATTTCCTCTCAAGCTAAAAAACACACCTGCTTCAGGTCGACATACATGCCTTCTTCAGGTGCCAAGTTCTTTCACTATTTCCGAAACCGCTCATAAATTTGGCACCCATTCGAACTTGTCGAAGTTTCTGTTGGTCCACTGGGGTCCACGAGCTCGAATATCATTCTGATCGCCACTCGGTAGCCCATGGGTGGTACTGGTGGGAAAGTTCACTTTTTACCAAATGGAAACCTATGTAGGGCATTTCTTTGTGTTTTTTTTTTCCGATCTTCGGACTTCCCTTTCCTTCTCGGTCTTCCCTTAACCTAAATCACTCCTGTCTCCCTAATACTCGTTCAACTTGCCTCATGTAATATTCACTTTACTGTTCATTTTTCCCAAAATAAATTCTCTGGCTATTAGTTACCTCTTTTTCGAATAGACCTATGAGTTCTCGAAGACTATGGCATTCTCCTCACGTTTCCCTTCATCTGTGGGATGAATATGAAGTGTGTACGATTGAATATATTTTACGCTACGCAATGCTATTCAGGGTATGCGAATGGTTGTTGGGGATTCCCCAACAGACGGGATCGTATTTGGTTGCTGGGGAGGGGGTGGGTCGTATTTCATCTAAGGAAAAAAACTTTTGATAGTTGATTTTCCTTGTTTCAAGGACGTTGTAAAGGGGGGGGGGAGAGTCGTACTTGCTGCTGGATTTTCGGGGTTCTTCCTGTTAAATGTGTACTATATACCCCCGCTCAACAGCAAAACTTTTGGGTGAAAGCAAGAGAATTTTTGGGAAATTCCGGAAAAAGTGGTAGGAAGTTGGGGAAAGTTGGGTAGTTAGGTAGAGCGAGTGGTGGTATTTTCTTCGCGTTTTTTCCAATTCACATCTGCCCCCCCCCTCCTTCCGCTACAGACTCGACCGAAATCCCCAATTAAGTGTTCTGATGCTATTAAAGTCGGAAGTATCTTTATATTGCCAAACTATTTATGGGTAGAGATGACGCACACTCCTTATATCGGAGATAAGGAAGGTGTGGCTGCACATGTTATTTGAAGGTGGCAGCGGCTGCGCTTCATTGGTCAACGTTCCGAGCAGGTCGTCGTTTTCTTGGCCTGGAAGTGGCTCGTAAAGGGGAAGTGCATGTACCCACGGGAAAGTTTGTTGAAAAGCATGGCTTTTTCCACTTATCTTCTAGCTGTCTACTTCAAAGGGCACAATTAGAGTAACCGGTGACTTCTAGGTCCTGAGAAACATCCAAGCGCTTGAAAGTATCTTTTTACGCAAAGGAACGGGTTCAGCTATCCCGAAGTTCCTTTCCTCCTAGGCACAGGCAAAAACCCTCATCCAGTTAACAATTGCTTCTTCGCATTTTTGTGCCTAACCTCATTGGAATACCACCCTATGAGTTTTAAATACATGTTCTACACCTAAACTTACGGAGTCCTCGGAAAAACCCTCTCACTGAAGCCAACCGAGCGGAGTAATATCTCAGCGAGGAGGGAGTAGTAGTGGGGCCTGCCGCGTTGTGTCCCCCTCCCCAGGGCACGCCATGGCGTTGTGATCATTTCCTGAAAAATACGGCCCCCATGCTACCTGCCTCTTTCTTAGATTTACCCAACTTCCTACCATTTTTTTCCGAAAAATTCCTGGTTTTTCCCCAAAATTTTGCTGTCGAGCGGGGAGGGGAGGTGGGTCGTCAGGATTTAACTATCATTTTCAACTATCGGAAATAGTAGTTGTATAGATCTTTGGCAGTCCCTCTCCCAACAACAACCAAATACGACCCCCCCCCTTTATAGCGTCCGTGAAACAAGAGAAATCAACTATCAAAAAAATTTCCTCAGACCAAATACGACCCCCTCCCCACTCCTTCGCGGTCAAATACCCCGTTGTGATCATCACAACACGATGGCGGGCTGTCCCCCCTCCAAACACGTTAACGGCAATAAAAAATATGGAAAGTCCTTCCGACTTTTCTAAACACTGCATGCGAGGGGAAACACTACAGGTCCACCATCGATACGGACTTCTGGCTACTGTGGCCGACTTCTTAAGTTCAGCTTTAGCGCTCATGAATCTGGACCAGTCCATTCAGGATGGTTTATCTGCAACTTTGAGCAACAGACCACAGGGCACGCCATCGCGTTGTGATCATTTCCTGAAAAATACAGCGTAATTCAGAATAAATAAACAGAATAAGTGAAAAAGCTGCTATTAGTCAGCTCACGTGCTCTAATCTGTTATTTGTGAATGAAGATTATTACCGGTTCGATTACTAACATACGTCTTGTGTTGATATTTTTCGAGATAGATAATAATAAGTAATTCCATCCTCAAATACACCCCCCTTCGCCATGCGTACTCCATTTCCTCGATTTTTTTCCCATTTCCTGCTAAACTTCTTTCCCAGAAAATTTCCGAGTTGTCCTCACGCAATGAATTTTCGTCGAGATGGAGGATGATATACCCTATGTTAAATAGGAAAATTTCTCAGATCTTCCCCCAGTTTTTTCGAAATTTCCCGAAAATTTCTCGTTTTTCCCCAGGCTTTGCTGTGCGGGGGGGGAGGGGGGATCGTCGTGATTTAACTGTCATTTTCAACTATCGGAAATAGTAACTGTATAGATCTTTGGCAGTCCCTCTCCCAACAACGCCCAGATAACGACCTCCCTCTCCCTCGCGATCAAATACGACCCCCCGTGATCATCACAACGATGGCGTGCCCTGACAGAGTAAATGCTGGTGCAGATATACCCTCCTGAAGCAACTGTCAGCGACGAGCAGGTCGTGGCGCTGGCCTGACCGCAAACGCAGCGCAAGCGAACGCCACACTCGCTGGCGCCACAGGAAGGCGCGCAAACTTTGTCACTCCGATGCGCCGCGACACCGACACACTCCGACTTTCGAATATGTTCCGTCAGCTCCTCACTTGTTGTGGTTTCTGACTTTCGCTTTATGTTCATTTTTAACCACTGCTGTCGTAGAAGAATTGAGAACTGGTAACCATCTAGCGAGTCCCGCTTTCATCTCTGCTAGACTATTTTTGGCATGGCGTGCGTTCGTTCATTCTTGTTTCTTGCCGCTATTTGTTCCCACGGGAGCCTGTCGCTTTGCCTGGTATGTTGCATTCTGGCGGTTGCAGCAGCACTTCATGAGCAGATTTTCTTATAACGTTTGATGGAACATTCACAAAACTTAGAGCTACCAAGAAACCTAAAACGAAATGAATGATTTTCTAGCAGTCTGGCTCATTCCTTCTGCGTTTTCATTCTCTGTCTTCTTGAAGTGCTCATGAGCTTCCCCCCCCAAAAAAAAAACGCACTGATGGCGGTATAAGCATTGCAGGGCAGGCACTGTTTTGTAAAACCTTCAGGATCTTGAAGTTTTTTTTCTTTTTTGGAATAGGGCTTTTGAAGCCTTATCAGTCTGTTGCACAGTAATTACTAGTACGCTGATTCTCATTTTTTTGAAATGCATCTGGGTTCCATCCACTAAAGTCACCCCCTAGCTGAAGCTGGAACAATGTTGGCAACATTTTCTAGAGCAGTGGGTGGGCAGTTTGGTAAAGTGAGACGGTATTCTGAAAAGTACGATTAGTAATTTTTCGCGCCATTGCGACCACTGATGTGAAGCTTGCATAAAAAAATCTAGCATTATTTTTCTTATTCTCTGAAATATCCAACAACTATGGCGGGAAGCTTGTTTTCTAAGTTACAGTCATGAGTCATGCTGTGTACCGCAGCAATTCAATTTTGCCGAGGCATTAACATGGTGTGTTTGTCTTGTTCTTGGTACTGTCGATGTTTTCAGACTGATCATTAATTGAGCATGATGAAATTTAGCGAAAATATTTGTGTTTGTCGATGATTTTATACTTGATTTTGTGGCTCCCGGTGTTAGTTTATCAATGCGTATGTATATGCTGTTCATATATAGCTCTGGGGCGACGCAATAAACTTGTGAATTCATAGGTTTTAGCAGAGTGCAGAAAAGGGATTGGGAAAATTTAGCGTGTGATGCAGATGCAAAAGCGATTTGGGAAAATTTAGCCGTGGTGATCGTTCGCTGGGAAAAGCTCAGAACAATCGAAATTCTCCGCTGCGTCGCGCGCGGGTTTTTCGTCATTATCGTTGGCCTCTTGACTGGAGCACGATTTCGAGTAGACTACGACATTGTAGGCTTTTAAGCTGTTTTTGATTATACATCGCCCTATTACTCCCTTCTGCCAGCATTTAATTATAAGTTCCAGGTTGCCAGGCTGCGTACAGCACCCCCGAAAATTGCGCGTGAGATCAATTGTGTTGGCCGTGAATGCACACAACGGGACCCGGGACTGCGTGGACCATTTAATTTTGGCGTGGACTGTAATCTGGACGCGGGGTCAGTACCCGACGGGGTCGGGCGGGTCGCTGCCCGGGTGGCCGGTCCACCCCGGAGCTTCTCCCCCGTGCGACTTCACGCGCAATTTTCGGGGGTACTGTACGCAGCCTGACAACCTGAACTTATAATCTTGTTCTGCGACCCAGAAGCATCGCCATTTGCGTGCGCGACGTCGCGCGCAGCGCCTAGCGCCGTGTCGAATTATGATTGTCTTGCCACATACCGTCGATTGCTTTACTCTGATTGAAGATGACTGAAGAGGAACCGAACGTCTTCCTGTTCTATCCGAACCTTATCGGATACGGCCGTATCATTCTGGCCATTCTTGCTTGTTATGCGATGGGCGATTGTCCAGTGACCGCCATGCTTTGGTGAGTTGTGGTTTTTTTTCATCTGTTGTTGAATATCCGATTGGTCCCACTGAGCTGCAAGGCCACTTATGTCAACGGGAACATTTTCGCCATTATTATTAGAATTCCGGAGAAGTGCTACCACCTAAAAGGATATCAGGAGTTTTATTCATCACGAGGCACTCTCCCATACGCTTGGGCAAAAATCATCCAATCGTTCCTTCACATCTCTGTAAATTCATCCAATATAAAAACGTTTCTTAGAAATGCCGTCAAAACAAGGTGCATAACATTTCGCGGTTTCAAAGACCTTGTGTAAAAAGGGTTTACTGCACCAACTGTTGCACCAAAATGCTTCTCCCAACTGGAATAGTTCCGCGACCTGCCACTCGGCGAAAGTCGTGGCGAAAACCATGTCACCAACTGTGAAATGAGTGTGATCACTTCAGCACCATTTCTCATAGCTCGTGATTCATAGAATTCTTCATACAACAACTTGGCGATACCTGCACTTATTATCATTTTATTCCAGTTATGCGATAAGTGCCGGACTGGACGCTGTTGATGGAATGGTGGCAAGAAAATATCAACAAAGCCCATGGCCCTCTGCATGGCTCTATGTAGATTTTACCCAAACTCGATGTTCTGGATTCAGGTATGTCGCTGTGGCTTTTTTATTTTGAAGAGTTTCATCTTCCTAATTTAGATGAGTACAATAATTGACATTGCCTCACACTGGCTTCATCTTCATGCTAGCGATCTGAGCCGTTCTGATACGCATAAGAAAAGCAACAATCCGATCTTGCACCTTTATTATACAAATCGTTCGTTCCTTGGATTCATGTGTGCTGGTAACGAAGCATTTTACTTGATTCTCTATGTTCGCGCATTCTGGCCAGGACCAGCTATTTTTGGGGTTCACCTGCTCTCATATCTTGCCGCTATTGTATTTCCAATTGCACTCGTGAAATCTGCCATAAGTTTGGTTCATCTAGTCACTGCAGCCCAAATAGTTGCAAAGTACGACACTGATGCCATTCTCGCTAAACGACCTCCAGTCGCTAAAACTGAATAACTTTTGTAGTTTTGCACTTTTTTTCCCAGTGAAAAATATTGTGTTAGTACACTTGCTTGTTCTGTAATTTCTATGTTGTTCTAATACTAAACAGATTATCGTAAGCGATTTTTCCCGTTGTGATTCACGTGTTAAGCTAACATTCCCATTGACTAGAATCTTTTAACTAGCATATTACTTACCTCATGGTAGCTTTAATAAAAGATGTGTTTGTTAAGAAATAATCTGCATAGTCATGTGATTGTGATTGAATTTTTAGTTTAGTTTGTGATGTTATAAACGTTTCGATACAATTTGTTTGTTGACGGTCTTGGTTCATGAGATCCTTTATTACATATGAGTCCATTCTTCTATTTTGGTAGCTAGTTGGCTTAAGAACAATGAGTCGTAAAATTCTATATTGTTTGGGCTTATTGTAGGGGAGAAAGACATCCCACAAAATGGCTGACGAATTAGCTCGCGTGCAGCAATATGAGTACAGACAGGTCAGTTTGCTAATCTTTAGTAGTTTATCTACCGTAAAAGTGTACATTACGATGTAAGGTGAAGCTTTGTGTAGTGCATGATCACAAAGTAAATGGATGAGGTGAACAGCTATGCGTAGGCTCCTCCTGGGGAGAAAAAAAACAGAAATTATAATCGGCAAGCCTGTGAGATGGTCATTGAATGAGTCCATTCGGTTTCACTGCTCCTCATAAATGGGCGGAAAATCATAGGTGCTGCGATCCGTGACAGTTGGACCCGAACAATGTGCCATTGCTCAGGTTACAGGGTTTTCGTCAACCAAATGTTCTTTCGCTGTGAGGGTACAGGGGTATTTTCTCATCGCATTTTCTATCCAAAGCAACAAGAATGGGGACAGAGAAGGAGAGAGGAAAGAAGAAAGGAAGGCAAAAAAAGAGAGGAAGAGAAAGAATCCTCGTGGATGTCAGATACTCTGAGACGATTTGCTCAGGACCCAGGAGCAGAGGGTCTTGAGTAGAGGTTATCATCATACTTCAAGATCCTTAAGCAGTTGTATAACAAGCGATCAGTCTCGCTCTTAGGGACGCTTTCTTGAAAGCTTTTACGACTACTATACCACCGGGTCTCCGTAAGAAATCTGTTAGAATTCCACCAACTTGGTATTACAAGTGGACTATAATCTCACTGACCGTCGTGGTCGTGAAGAGCCCACCGGCGAAGTTCTTCCACTCTCTGATCGAGTTCTGAAAGGAATGAAAATGGGTGATAAATATATGCGTACGAAGGCACCCATTCAAGAGCAGAAGAAAAAGCGGTTGGTTTTTCATCGTCATAGTTTTTCTGTAAAGTTATGCTCATACTTTATGAATGTCAAAAATTCATCAGCTGGTGGATTCTAAGAATGCGCGAGTAGGGAGAATTGTGCTGAAGAAAGTATATGTCCGGAGGTTTTGCTGTGAATTCGGATACACGTGCCCATACGAGGAGTGTCCGATGGAATGATCGTCACCGATATTCTCTGGCAGAGTGCCAGTATTCAGGTCTGTAAATTATGAAAAAGGGCTAATTTTCATTTTTTCTCCAGAAAGAAGAAGACGGAAGAGGAAGATTTCCGACTGATGTCTAAATCAGTGATAGGGGATAACACGGAGCTTATGGGAAGCTATAAACCGCGTACGCAAGAAACCAAGCAGACTTATGAAGTTATTCTTGCTTTCATCCAGGAAGCAATTGGTGATCAGGTGAGTTACTTCACCCAAGTGTCTGAACAATGCATTGGCGGCTTGAGAAATTGATTTTTCAACCTCCAGCCTCGTGCAATATCTTTGCGTGGAAGGCTTCGCTGATGAAGTTCTTGCTGTGTTGAAATCGGACAAAATACGAGAGAAAGAAAAGAAGAAAGAGGTATTTTCAGTTCTATAAGATTAATGTTCCGTCAATAGGAACTTTTTTTAGCTACGTTGGAACTACTCCTTTTGTGTTTGAGCAGTACGTATAGAACCTGTTCGGTGCTTGTGATGCAATTTAGCTCGAAAAAATGAGCAGATTTCTTTCTCATGGAGATGAACACAAAATGGAAATGGTAATCTTTACGGTTTCGCAGCCGTGTTTTCCCTCTGTTCATACATCGCTTATAGGATGAGCTTGATGAGAATGAAGGTGTCAATGTGCACTTTGATGAATCAGACGAAGAACAAGATGCCGTCATCGATGAAATCAAAAGTATGTGTTGTTTTCCCTTTCTTTTCCATGTTCGATTTGGAGATTCTTCAGTGTATTCTGCTGAAGGTTGACTAGCACGGGCCGCGAATGCAATTATACTACCTGATTAGCTTGCTGTCTAACGACTTAATGACATAATCTCGTGAGGGAAACGCGTTTGGAGATTCTCACTAGAAATCACTCCAAGTTTCCTTGAAGTGTTAGATGAAGACCTGGGTTTATTGTTTGGGCCCGGAGTGCTAGTTACAAATATCAAGTGAGTTGTGAGCGAAATCTACAACGATGCAATGCTTCAACAGCACTTATGCCCCCCACGCTAGTGTGATCCCACGTACAAGAGACATCAGTCCATGTGGCTGAGAACGCATAGCGCGCTAGCTAGAGGCGCCGTGAGCCCAATTTAGCACCTAAATTGGCGACTTTGACGGTTCACAACTCGCACTTGAGGTTGAGATAACAATTCTTGTTTCCATGTGTGGAACCAGTTAACAGAAGTTGTAAAATAACCAGGTTAGGCTCTAGGCTTCATGGGAATTGGAGACCATCTCCCGGTTTGGTTACAGTGATCTGTCGACTGGTTGCCCCTTCGCTAGGTTCGGAGATGTTTTAAATCATTGCGCATTCAAGGAGAGAATAAGGCAGAGGGAAGAGAAAGAAAGAGGTAGGAAAGAGATAGAAAGAAAGAGCCTTCACGGTTGACAGATGGCCTGAGACGTCCCCGGTTTATGCCGAAATGAAACAGACTCTCGAACAGTGGCTCGGAAATACTGTAGCTGCGAGTAAAACAGATCTTGGGTGATCAGAAAGGTACGAATGTAATTGCAGATGTCGATGAAAGCTCCAGTGACGACGAAGGTGGAGTAGAGGCTGAACATAACGAAACCCTTCGAGGTGGAGGTTTCAACGAAGTGAGTTCTACTCTTGGCATGGCTACTTATGGCACG